CCCCCCAGCAGTGCTCCGGCACACACACACCCTGCTGAATAGCTTCCAGCCTCTCCAGAGGCTGATTAGGGATTTTATTTTCTCCTCCTCTCCCAGCCTTGCACGCTGGTTGCCATCAATTATCTCTGTGATGAATTATTGAGGGTGGGGTGGGGGAAGACCCAACATCCCAGCTCCAGGCACCCTGCAAACAACCTCTCCCCAGAGCGTGGGGGCAGCTAGTTTGCCCTCTGATTTCTGATTTAGGATGGGGAGCTGATCCATCAGCTTGCAAAACCCCTTTCCTCTCCCCATTCCCCTTCTTCATCATTGCTCTGGAGGTGTGGGTGTTCCTGCAGAGCAATGGGTGCATTATTTCCCTGATGAGAGGCTTGGATGAGTAGAACATGAAGAGTTTACCCCTGTCTTGCAAAACAGCCAGGAGTTATTTTATTCAGGCACCTGGAAAGGAAACACAATTTCCTCACAGCGTTTGGGTTTTTTTTTGGGGGGGGTATTTTTTGTTTGTTTTGTTCTTTCTTCTGGCTGGTGTTTTGTTGGTTGTTTGTTTTTTTTTTTTAACTGTTTCCCTTTTCCCCTAAAGCCTGTAGAAAGTTTGGAATGTGTTTTTGTTAAAGCTGTGACATGTATGGACCTGAATCCCAGCTTTGGCAGCACTTGGCTGTTGGCAAGCAAGCCTCAAGTGGCACCACCAGCTTCTTCCCTAGCTGAAAATGTGCCTCTTCTCACCTGGGCAGAGGAGGGTTCTGCAGGACCACTCTGGTTCAGGATCAGGTTCCTCAGCCCCAAATTCTGCTTTTTCTCTGCTTTGTGGCCAAGTGGCATCTGCACTGATGCACGGAGCTCAAAGCAAGGGGAGGGTAGAACTGGGAATTGTTGCTACCACTCAAGGTCAAGAAAAAATCACTTGATTTTTAAAAGGGTCATTTATTAATTTGCAGGGAAATCATAGTGTAAAGAAAGGGCACGGTGATGATGAAGTGAGGGATTGGATTGATCTCCCTCGTGTGATAAATACATCCTCTGCCAGACTGGCTGGAAATAGCTTTATTTAAAGAATTATTCCCCTCTCCCTTTCTCTGGCTCTGCAAAGAGTCACTGGGCCACGATTTCCTGGTGCCTTTTATTGGGCTGTGGAAAGCCTGGTTCAAAGGGAACGGCTGAGACCTGTGGTCAGGGAGCTGCTGTGGGAGCAGAGCCAGCTGGGCCATCGCCCCAGCCCCGGGCAAGCTCTGCTGGGGGGCATGGGCCCTTCAGGAGAGAGGTGGGGATGGGTGCTGATGAACCTGCTCTCCCCCAGCCTTGGCAGAAGGAGGGGGTGCAGGGGGGGCCAGGCAGGCGTGTGATGGGCGGGGGGTTCTTCCCAGGGCCTTGTGCTCCTCTGCAAGCTCCCACATGCTCGCTGAGGCTCTCAAGACTTCAGAGCCAGACTGCTTGGCAAAGCTGTTGCTCACCTCCACGGGTGTGGACAGTTCTGCAAGAGGCTCTTTCACCTCCGGGGTAGAAGGAGCAGCCTGTGCTGCAAAGCGTGCTGAAGACATCCCCCTGCTCCCATCTGCCCGTTCTTTCCTCAAATCCCAGTGTAGCATTATCTAACCCCAGCCTTGCTCTGCACCCCGTGCCTTCATTTCATCAGAAAGCTCCTTGTGGGCCACGGAGTCCCATGGGGCACAGTCCAGACTAGCTTTGGAAACATCTTTCACTGCCTGCTCATTCTTCTCTGGTAGGTAGGTTGGTATAGAGTCCAGCTGTGAGTTTATCAGAGCAGGGACATCCCTTCTCTTTGTTTTTTTGAGGGATGTGCATGGCAAAAATGGCCCTGGCTCCACTGGGAGGAGGAACATGCTACCCTTCCAGCTCCAGGGACTCTCTGGCTTCATGCATGCAGGCACATGAGGGCACCAGTGCTTTGCTGTGGTTGTAAGCAGGCTGAAAAACATTCCTGGGCGCCCAGCTGCAGTGTTTGGGTGTGGGGTGAACCCAGGCTTGACTCAGGGAAGGGAGCAAGTTCACACAGAGCTCTGGAGACCGAGTTTCGGTCTCAACTGCTGATGACTGTGGTCAGCTGGTGGCGTCTCATGGCTGGGCTGCATTGCTGAGGCTTGTCCTCAGGGTCACAGCCTTGGTGCAGAGGGAGGGAGAAGGGGGGAAGGAAGAGGCTTGGATGAGATGTGGGGACTGAGATCAGGGTGAGGAGGGTAAGCGTGGAGTGAGGGGGCAACGTGGGAGTGTGCGGAGAGAGAAAAAGGTGAGGAGACTTTTGTGTGCCTGCACTCGTGTGTGTGAGGAACTGCAGGAAGGAGAGTCTTGATCAGGTTCACATGTAGAAGTCACAGGGCACATATACCAGGGGTTGGGAGGGGGCTAGGATGGAGGAGTTTATTTCAGCCTTGCACAGGGTTCATCCCCTGGAAGAACAGGACAGGAGTGACATTTCAGAAATGCTCCGTCCCCTCAGTTAGAAGATGCTGCCCTGTTTCTCCTGCTATGCATTTTTTTCCTTCCCCAGCCTCTCTTTCATTACCCTTTCATGTTCCTCACTCTTTGTACATCTCTTTTTTTAATAAACTTTCCTCTCCTTTCCCCTCCATCTCCCAGAATACATCCAATTTCAGATTCTGCCAGAAGCGGCGAGCAAAACCCGCTTTTCTTGTTCTTACCACCTTGCTTCCCTATTGTATTTATCCTATAAATACTGGCTGTATAATTACCAGAGCATTATCTCCAAACATTCAGACTAGTGAAAGACACGGTGGCAGCCAGAGATGAATTTGGGGGTCAATCTGGTGGGAGACATTTCCCTCCAGCTGTCGGGAGGAATCAACTGAGACAGAGCAGCAGTCAGGGACACCAGGCACCACTTCTCCAAAGCACCTTTCATCTTTACCCTGCAGGATCAAGATGGAAGGTTCCTAAATGCAGCCACTTCTGGGGTTAAAAAAAGGCCACAGAAACAATCTAGATCCTGCAGGGTGTATAGAGACTGCTGTAAATCTATTCTTACAGGGGAGCTGTTGATGCTTGGAAATCAGGGCTGTCTTTGCAGCTCATTTAATTACTGATGCATTTTCAGTAGGATTAAATGGATGTCTGTGTGTGTTAGCATATGTTAGGATATGCTGTGCTGATAAATATCAGTGCTTTCATATGCCTCCAGATATGCATGCCCTGTATAATTTAGAATAACTGATTTACCATTGTCTGAATTTGAAGGGAAAAGGAAGGGGAGTATTGTTGATCCAACCTTGTGCCTTGTGGTGGTCATGACCCCCTGGACTGGCTGCAGAGCATTAGGGCTGGTTGTAGTGAAGTGTCAACCCCAGTTGTGGGAAGGAAGGTGTTTATGAGCAAGAATGAGGTTGCAGGAGGTGCAGGTGGATGCTGGTTGTTGCAGAAGATACTGAGTGCCTGTAACCATAGATTGTTCTTGTATCAGCCATGCCAAGGAGGCACAAATGGAATGAATAAAGGCTCTTCACGATGTCCAAGAGCTGTTCTTCTTCTCTCTTTCTCTGTCTGAGCAGCACACATGTATGAATGTCCTTCTGTTTTATTGCAGGGCTGCAAGCTCAGACTGTCTTGGTCAACGACACAGTCTCGGGGTTTATTGGGACAGATGTGGTCCTGCACTGTAGCTTCACCAACCCCCTCCCCAACGTGAAGATCACGCAGGTCACGTGGCAGAAAGCCACCAACGGCACCAAGCAGAATGTGGCCATCTACAACCCTGCCATGGGGGTCTCCATCCTCTCTCCCTACAAAGAGAGGGTGACTTTCCGGAATCCTTCCTTCAAGGATGGCACCATTCAGCTCTCCAGGCTGGAGCTGGAGGATGAGGGAGTTTACATCTGTGAGTTTGCTACCTTCCCAACTGGCAACAGGGAGAGCCAACTGAACCTCACTGTGCTGGGTAAGATGCTGGGCAAGCTTTGTAGTGTTCTAGTTAAACAGATCTGGAGGAACCTGGGATTCGTGGCCTGGGAGGTCAGGTCAGGGCTGAATCTTAGGTGTAAGTTTTCCCTGTGATGGCTGTAATGAAGTGAAGAGCAGGGAACCCAGGGTGGGAGCTTCACAGGAGTGCTTCTTCCTCTTTCCAGGCCTCAGCTCCCCTGTTTCCTAATAACAGTGACCTGTTCCCTAAGGGAGTGGTGAGCTTTAATCTGATGTCTGTCAAATGAGCAGAGAGAAAAGACAACGGATTGATCCTAAGCACAACTAGAGCTTGTCCATGGAGCTTAGAGTTTTGAGTGAATAGACCCCACCCAAGATCTGCCTTGTTTATTTGCTCTCCCATTTTTGGTTTATCATTCTAACCTAGGGCTGAAAACCTGTGGCAGGAGAGGATTGACTTTCCATTGTGTATCTGTGCATCCAGGGCACCTCAGGCAGCTCCATCATTCTTTCCCCCGAGTAGCTTGCTGGCAATTTGCAGCAGCTCTGGATTCACCACAAAGCCTGGCACAGGGTCAGTGGTGCTAGGTGGCTTTTGGGTTAGGAGCAGAGAGGCTAACATTGCTTTTCTAACCATTCCTTTGCACCCTTTTCCTCTTTTTTTTGCACTTCCTTGCAGCCAAGCCCACGAATCGAATGGAGGGCACCAAGCGGCCGCTCATCGCCAAATCTGGCAGGACAGAAAAGATCTTGGTAGCCACCTGCACCTCCTCGAACGGGAAACCTCCCAGCACTGTCACCTGGGACACCAAGCTGAAAGGGGAAGCAGAATTTCAGGAGATCAGGAACAGCAACGGCACCATCACGGTGATCAGCAGGTACAGGCTGGTGCCCCACCGGGACACCC